ACGAAGACAACAAAATAGCCACATCCCAGGAAAAGAATCCATGTAAAATAAATTGGAGAGGCGCGGGTGTGACATACGTAATTGAATCCACTGGCCTTTTTACCACGTTAGAAAAAGCAAGCGTAAATCCATCTTTAATTTCTACGCGATCCTGAGAAATAATATTAGAGATAGAAAAAGTCGTGATTTATTTTAGTTGCATATGGATGGTGGTGGGAAGAGAGTGATTATTACCGCCCCTTCTGTAGACGCGCCGATGATAGTTTACGGGGTGAATCATACTTGTTACGATCCGAAAAAGGGTAAAATAGTATCGGCCGCGTCTTGCACGACAAATTGTGCAGCACCGATCATTCGATTAATGCATGATAAATTCGATGTTATTGAAGTAATGATTAGCAGTGTGCACGCTTTAACGTCGATGCAACGAACATTAGACGGACCTTTGGAAAGAGGGAAAGTAATTATTAAAAAAAAAAATAATTTTATATCACGTTTTCCAATTACGTTTAACTAATTATACATATTTTTAATAGTTGTTAATTTTTTTTTTTTACAGTTATTATTATTCTACATCATATATAATAAAATATGCACGATTAACCATTATTTAATTTATATATTAATTTAAATATATCATTATATTATTATATGTAGTTGTGGAGAGACGGTAGAGGCGCTCTTCAAAATATCATACCAACATCTTCAGGAGCTGCTAAATCATTGGATAAAATTATCCCTGAACTTAAAGGGAAAATATCTGCAATAGCTTTTAGAGTACCAATCCCAAATGTTTCTTTATGCGATATGACTTTTAGGTAACGTTTTCATAAATTATAAAATGTACAGTGATATACAGTAACTCTGTGACATTATTTAATAATACGATTAGGGTTAGTAAACCGACAACGTATGAGGAGATAAAAGAAGCAATGAAAACAGCATCAGAAAACGATTTGAAAGGTATATTGGGTTATACAGATGATGACTGTGTATCATCCGATTTCAATAGGACAACTTATTCGTGTATTTTCGATGCTAAAGCTGGCATTCCTCAGACAAGTACATTTATCAAAGTTATTGCGTGGTAATTTTTGAATAATTTTTGAATGTATAAACAAATATACGAATCAAATAAATATCTCACTTTGTTTGTTAATTAATGAAGAATATATGTTTACAGGTATGATAATGAATATGGTTATGCGCATCGTGTAATGGATTTAATATTATACATGTACCAAATTGATTCTGGTAATATACCAGTACCTCCACAAGAGATAGAAGAAAGTGAAGATTAATTATTTTATTCAGTACTAAGCATATATTATAAGACTACATTTTATGTAAAGTAATATGTCTATTCTATCTATGTTTTCAATTAGATAATTTAAAGATCATTTATTACATTAAAATTTCATTTATTTCATTTTGTTTTATGTATGTATACTTTTTTCCTTAAAAGAATAAAAGTTTGATTTAAATAAAATTATTAAATAAATAATATTTGTATATTATACACAAATATAATAAATAATCAATTTTATAATTTATTCCTTAAACAAAAAAATTTTACAAGTATTATTACAGTAATATTTAATATTTGAATATTTAAATTTGGCGGCGTTTGAATACGTCGATAAATTTAATCACGTGACCCGAACATAATCGATGATATACGAAATGAAAGAAACGGTTACGTTACAGCGCATACGCCTAAAATTGCTGTCGGTTATATTACCGCTTTCTGCCCTTCAAATGACACACTGCTTCTGCACAGATCCGAGTGAAAGGAGGTAAGTCACGTTTTTTTTTATCTTAATTTTAATTCATCGTTCTATTAGTTAATTTTTTTCATTTATTTCATGATATTATTTTATGATACATGACGTCTAATAAATGATAATTAACCATTTGATATTTATATCAAATAATATTCAGTATAAAATAATTCAAAATTAGGCTTCTATTTAGAATTACGTTGCATGTATTATGTACATTTTTCACCGGTTGATATGACGTCATTCAATATATTCCTACAATAATTTTTTTATTTAAACTATTATTTTGAATGCATCTGAATTTATAATTGAAAAAAATCATAATTTCAATTGTTACTTGTTTTACCTTTAAGTTAATTTCTTTAATTACTATGAATTAATTAAATATTAATTATATTAATTATTTAGAAACAAAAATATTGATTGATCAATTTTAGCATTTGATCAATTAATCAATTTAGGATTTCATTAAATATGAAATAATTTCTAGGAAAATTTGACTTTTACAAGTTTTCCATATCATTGAGTCATTGTGACTATTTTTTCTCAATAATGGATTTTAAAATTAATTATAATTTTTTTATCTTCCAAAATAAAAGTATATTTTTAAAAATATAAATATTTTAATATTTTTATCCATTAAATATGTTTTCGAAAACTCAAAATAATTTAAATATTTATTAAGTTCTGTTAACTTCATTATTATATTGATTTTCATTCAATCATTATATCGTATTTTTATATAATCATTTATTCGTATATTTATATGTATAATCTAAATTATAAACAAATTCAAATCAAGAGAATAATATCGTAAGTAATATGATAAATATTTATGAATGACTTAATATATTGCATCATTTGTTTATAACTTCAATATACTTTTAAGTCGTAAAATATAAAAAAATATGTATTTTTTTTATATATATGATTGTAAAAATTGAAATACATGAAAACATCACCTTCAAGTTGGATGAGAATGTTCAGAGATCTTTGACCTTGAGTGACCTTTAATATTAAATGAAATTTAATAACACAAATATCTGAAATGCAATATTATTGTAATTTATAGTAAATTTTTTGATGTAATAAAGAAAATTTATAAAAATTATTTTTAATATTAAAAACAAAAATATGATGAACAATTAAGTCCTTTTTGATACATCTATATTCACAAATTACATTATCCATATTTTTTTATTTCAATAACAATATTTACAACAAAACACAATTGAATTTACACAAATGAATTAGTATAGATATATCATAGATTTTGAATTATTTCAATTATGTTCTATACAAATTATATATATATACATATATAATAAATATTTTCATTTAATATAATATATTCTCCTATTTAAAGAGATAAAAAATATTATAACAAATCGAAATATAATATCATCAAATCAGTATCATCATCAATATCATCATCAAATAATATAAATTAAAAAAATTGTTTTGAGGTTATGTCGTTTACATTGAGATTACTTTCATTTACATCGATAACAAAAAAAAAATTTATGAATATATTTAATGAAAATCAACGAATATTTAATGTATCAAAAATATGTTATCAAAAATTAAATCGTTCATTTTCCAGTTGCGACGACATGAGTAAAATCGGTATCAACGGTTTTGGCCGTATTGGCCGTCTTGTATTTAGGGCTTCCATTGAGTTTGGTGCTCAGGTATTAAATAATTTATTGATATATTAATGTATTCATATAAAATATTCCATATTTTATATGAAATAAATATTTTTATATTCAGTTTTTATTATTCCGAAATTATTATAATTTTTTTTAATAGGTTGTTGCCATTAATGATCCCTTCATTGGTTTGGAATATATGGCATATATGTTAAAATATGATTCTACACATGGAAAATTCAAAGGAGATGTCAAAATTGAAAATGATCAACTAATTGTTAATGGTAATAAAGTTGCTGTATTTAGTGAACGTGAGGCAAAAAATATTCCATGGACAAAAGCTGGAGCTGAATATATTGTGGAATCCACTGGTGTTTATACTACTAAGGAAAAAGCTTCTGTATGTTTTTATATATATTAAAAATATATCATCTAAAATATATATACATATACATATAATTTAATTATTTAAATTATTTTTCAGGGTCATTTACAGGCTGGTGCAAAGAAAGTTGTTATTACTGCACCATCAGCTGATGCACCCATGTTTGTTTGTGGTGTTAATTTGGATGCTTATGATCCAAGTTATGATATTGTTTCCAATGCTTCTTGTACTACCAATTGTTTAGCCCCTCTTGCTAAAGTTATTCATGATAATTTTGAAATCGTTGAAGGTCTTATGACTACTGTTCATGCTGTCACTGCTACACAAAAAGTTGTTGATGCACCTTCTGCAAAAGTATGTCTTATTTTTTTCTGATAATATTTTGTTTCTCATTTTTCTATATCAATGTTTTTATTTCTTTTTATTATTTTACAGTTATGGCGAGATGGTCGTGGTGCTTGTCAAAATATTATTCCTGCTGCAACTGGAGCAGCTAAAGCTGTTGGCAAAGTTATTCCAGCTCTTGATGGAAAATTGACTGGTATGGCCTTCCGTGTACCAGTACATAATGTATCAGTTGTTGACTTAACAGTCAGACTTGGCAAAGGTGCAGATTATAAAACTATAAAAGCTAAAGTAAAGGAAGCTTCTGAAGGACCATTGAAAGGAATTTTAGGATATACAGAAGATGAAGTAGTTTCTTCCGATTTTATTGGTGATGACCATGCCAGTATTTTTGATGCTAAAGCTGGTATAGCTTTGAATAATAATTTTGTTAAGTTAATTTCATGGTATGATAATGAGTATGGTTATTCATGTCGTGTAATTGATTTAATTAAGTACATGCAGTCAAAAGAGAAGTAAATTATTTTGCATATTTATATGTAATACATTTTCATGTTTCTATATAAGCATATCGTTGCATGTATATTTCAAACTAAATAATGTTTAATCAATAGATTCCAATCGCAAATTAAAATGTGAAATAAGAGTATTTTTAGCAGATTTTTTTTGCACATAAAATAGTTATAACTAATATTATATAGATATCAATCAGAAGAAGTACAAAAAAAAAAACAGTTTTTAAAGTTTGTTATTTAACTTAAATTTTCGCTCATGATTTTTAAATATGATCGTAAACAGTATAAAAAATATGCAAATATATATAATTTACATAGTTACATATACAATATGCAAAAATTATTCTCATATCATATATTACCTAAAGAAATAATTAATTAAAAAAGTAATACAATTAAAAAGTAATTAATAAAAAATATATTAATTACGATTAATTAGAATTAAAAAAGTAATGTATGTTACATTTAATTGTTCTTTATCATTTATTCATTTATCAATATTTATAATTAAGAATTTAAAATTTCCGATTTATTTCTGTAATATTATTTGTCATTCAACTTATTGATATCAATAAAAATTGTTATGAAACTAAGAGTGCTTTATTTAATTTTTCAAACATTTCTTTATCTCCAACTATATATTGGTACATTTTTACAAGATTACAATGAATAATAGGAATGGAATAAATCAACAGTTAATATCATATACTTTCTGTACAATTTTTGTACATTTACAAAAAGATTTTCTTATAATTATTAATTGGAATATTTTTAAATAATTCTAACAAAAGTTTTTAACCATCAAAGAAATGGTAGTAACATTAATTACAATGTTATTAAAGTTTTATATCGTATGGCACAAGAAATAATTCAACATTTCTCAGTAGTATTAAATTAATTTTTATAATAATATCGAATAATTTCAAGAACAGTGTCTTTATATACAAATAAAATCGTATGACTTATGAAAACAATAATTTGATGTAACATTTTGTATTACAATTAAAAATACAATTGAATAATCTATATAGAATAGAGAAAATAGAACGTACAAATTGATTAAAAGTATTAACGGTTTTTTTAAAGTATATTTATTATTTGAATGTTCTGTTCCTGCAGATTTCATTTTCTCTCATTCCTTGTTTTAATTCTATTTGCTATGTACAATTATCATCATCACGAAATGAAATATATTGTAACACTTTAAGAATACCAATCTGTTATGTCATGCTGTGAAAAATTTGGTTGTACAGCGATACGAAAATACAATTTTATTTTGTTGCCATAAACAATAAACATTCATCACTCGTTTTATACTATGTTTTTCATAGTTTTATAGTATACAGTAACCATCTTTCGCTCTCTCTCTCTCTCT